TTAAGATTCGATGTTGTTTCATATCCTCTTTTAAATAGTGAGAAAAGCGCAGATTTTTAGCTGATTTTTATGAAAAATTATTCAGAAAAACCAAGACCTTGACCCTTCTTTTCATTTGAAGTGGATAGTAGAATGGATTCGCAAAACAATGTTTTATTAACTTCATTTATTCAATTTTGCAGGCTCAACAAATCAATTATTTAACTTTGAATCTATTTGATCTATCATTGTTATATATATATATATATAAATGTTTAATGCATTTTCATACAATTTTCTAATCAGATGTAGTATCATATTAATCTATTTTAAACATAAAAATTTTCGCATTTTATAGTGAGAAGAGAATTTTGATGTAAAAAGAAAGTTTTAAAACGGAATTGTCTTGAAATTTGCTATTTCTCTGCAAAGCAATTTTTTGAAAACAGAAAAATCTCCCATATTTATTTGATAAAATGAGTTTTTTATCGATTTAGTCTGATTAAAAATTGACCTAATGTACAATAAAAAATTTCTATGGAATAATTAAAGTTGAATATATAGGTAGGGAGTGGGTAAAATAATAAATAGAAATAATAGACGAATAAAAAGGCACGTGGATAAGAATAGATAATCGATGATCTGATAAATTCAACAGAAACATGTGGACTTCAACATAGATAAATATCTATTCTGATATGATTTCAAAAGATCATTATGTTGATTCTTTCTATCTGTTTATGTGAAGATAATTTCGAACTTTATTCAATTATTTTTCTGTGAAAAACATAAAGAGTATAGTTATAAGTAGTGTCACATCTTTTTTTATTGCTCTCTTTTTTTCAGAAAAGCTCAAATTAAATTCCGATTATTAAATAGAATAGAAAAAAAACAGAATAATATTCTAGTGAAATTTCAATAAAATATTGAATTCATGTGCATTTTTCATTCAAACAAACAATGTGCAGATATGAAAGAAAAACGAAAATAAAATATGATCGTATAGATAAAGAAATATCCTATTTATAAACCGTTTTATTAAATAACGAATGTTGTCTCAGAAATGATGGGGAAATAATTTCAAAACGAGGGTTTGAAATACTTTCTATTATATTATTCTAAATAAATCACGATAAACCTTGAAATGTCTACTCATCAGAAATCAACCAAATTAGACTCAAAAACAAAAAAATTCATTTTTTATTTCAATGTTTTAACAGTAAATTTTTAGTTTTCTTTCTTCATTTGAATAGAAATTTTTCTTTTAAAATACTTTCAGAACTTTCCTATATTTGTGGCAAAATATAACAATATATCTATGATATTATTTAAAATGTCAACTAATGTGAAATAACAGAGCTCGAATTTGAAGTATATCTAAGCTCTTTCGTCTATTCACTTAACAATC